GTGTGTGTGAGAGCAGCGGGGAGAGGACCTCGTGTACGTGCTGACAGCCTGTCGTCCTATGTGGAGCAGTGTCCTCCCCGCTGCCTCAAGCATGGGCTGCTCAGGGCCCAGGTCTGCTCCTGGTACGTTAGGACAGCCTGTCTCCATGCTGCTGCCTCTGTTCTTGTGGGAGTTATGGTCTCAGGGCCCTGAGCCAGTCAGCTTCAAATCCCTTACCTTCCCAGAAATGTGGGGGTGTGCCTGTGAGATGGCGAAGATGACACTGTCCCAGGCACCAAGCCACCCCTCCTGCCCCAGCCAGCCGGCCTGCCTCTTCGGACCCTGTCCAGCCGGGCCTGGGCGGCCCCTCCTGCTGCCTCTTGACTTCTGAGATGCTGTGGGTCATGCTGTTCTAGCCCCACATCACTGCTAAGGAGGCTGAGGCCAAGGTTGTGGAGCCCATGCCCCGGGCAGGGTGAAGCACAACTACCCACTGGGGCCCCTGTTCTGAGGAGGGGTCTGGTGGAGCCCAGGGCGTGGGAGAAGGAGCAGGCGCACAGGATGTCTCCCCTCTGGGGGGCACTGGAGCCCCTGTCCTGGGACAAGGACACACTCCCCAGCCCTGAGTGTGGGACCACCCCTCATTCTCGTCTCTCCCTAAACTTGGAAAAACATGAGGAGAGACTTTTGCTTTAAAAAATATTTTCAATAATAAGACATCCTATTTTGGGGGGGTTAGGAATAGAGATAAATATGAAAACTTTTTTTTTTTGATAAAACACGTATCAAGGACATGTTTCCAGGTTTAAAGTTCATGAACATATAAAACAGAAATTGGGTCCTGGCACCTTGAGTGCAGGATTCTGAGGTTCTACATCTGGTTCTGAGGTTCTGGGTTTGGTTCTGGGGTACAGACAGCTCAAGTAGGAGGTCTCCTTATGTCACCAAACTACACAACTCGGAGGTTCTATATCCACCAAAGGCTAGTCTGGGGCCCATCAGCTGCCTGGGAGGGGGCCCCAACGAGGCTCATGGGTCCAGCATGCCTCCTGGGGGGACCCTGCTCTCACCACACAAGAGCCCCCAGCCAGGAGCACCATGCCAGCCAGCTGTGGGCGATGAGGGGGCTTCTGACCCGCCCTGCCCCTGGAGTTCCTGCTCGGGACGGTGGGCAGAGCCAGAAGACACAGCCCTCCCCACTGGGTCTAGGACGGCCTCCAGGGCTGGGGCCTGCGGGCGGGCGCCCTGACAGCAACCCGGCGTCTGCCAGGGGAGGCGGCGGGGTCTGCGCTGCCGGGCAGCCTAGGCCTCGGAGGAGGACCGCGAGGGTCCCTGCAGTAGCAGGGCCCGGTAGGCGGGAGAGCTGAGGAAGCGTGGGTAGGAGTCCCGGTGCATGAGCGTGTATATCTGCAGCTGCGCGTCGTCGAATGTGTGCGCCGACGGCTCCTGCATCTTCTTGTTGATGCCCTCCCGCACGCGGGAGTCCAGGCTCACCTGCGGGACAAGGCGCTGGGGTCAGGGGGCTGGGGAGGGGCCTTCCCCACCTGGTGCCGGAGCAGGCTGCCCCCTGCCCGTGCCGGTGGCCGGCGCACCTCCCTGGGGGACAGGATGGACACGTAGTCCTCGTAGATGAGCCGCGCCTTCTCGTCCACCATATGCTGGTTGGCCTCGGCCTTCAGCTCCTCGCAGGCCAGCCAGAAGAGCATGTTCTCCTCGCTGTACTCCGTCCGCAGGAAAGCCCGGAACACACTGCGTCCCGCTGGGCTGTGCATCAGCTTGTCAAAGGACTGTGCCCAGCTCTGCACCTCCTCAGGACTTGGTGTGGCACTGTGAGCATCGGGCTGCGTTAGGCCTGAGTCTCCTGGCCTGGGCCCCCCAGCACACATACACCAGCCGGGTGGACTCACCACACTTCACAGCTGGGGAGGGGCTGCAGCTTGCTCTCCCGGGAGGCCTGCCATGCACGCCGCCGCTCTTCGTTCCTAGAGCAGGGAGGAAGCGGCACTGCCCTGGCACACGGGGCTTCCCGTTGGGCTCCCCCCCACCGTTCCCCAGGGAATATGCCGTCCAGTTTGCTGTTCCTGCCACAGTGCCCAGGCAACAGACTCTGCCCCAGTGGCCGGGACTTTCTGGCCTTCCAGGAGGGACCCTTTGGCTCCTGGTGCTCCTCCCCATCCCTGGCCCACTGGGCAGGACACTGCTCCTAGGCCTGATCTTGACCCCCGTCCCTGTCCCTCCGATGGGGCCGCACGCTGCAGGTCTGGCGTGCCGGCAGTGTCTTGTCGGCTGACGCGAGTGAGGGTCCCAAACCCACGTGTCCACACCGGTCAGGTCCTGGAGCCTGACCCCTGGCTCTCTCAAGGGAAGCTTCTTCCCTGCCTTGGCTACTAGCACCGTCAGGGCTGGACCCAAATCCAGACCCGGCTGACCTCTCTCCAGGGCACCTGGACGGCTGGCAGACGTCATGTACCCAGACGTCCTGACTCCTCTGGACGAGGCCCCTGGACTCCTCCCACCCCCCTCCTCACTGTCCCCCGCCCACCCCCACATTGCTCATGGGTCAGCTGACCCCACATGGGTCCTGAAGCACTGTCCCCTCATCAGCCAGGGCCTGAAGCCTGAGTAGGGCCAGGCTTCTGCAAGGCAGGAAAACATCCACCAGCTCCCCTACCCTCCTAGAAAATCTGTTATCATTTGGGAGCCCCACTCCCACCCCCACAGGAATGCCCAGAGACCACCCCTCCAACCCTGTGCTCTTTTACCCCTGCTCACGCTGTCTGGGAAGCTCTTGGCCATCACCCAGGGCCAGTGGTTCCCTCTTTGGGTCTCTGCTCGAAAGTCCCTCCACCCCACACAGTCTGGGGGGTTCTGTGCCTCTTTCTTTCTTTCTTTTCTTGAGACAGAGTTTCGCTCTTGTTTGCCCCAGCAGAAGTGAAATGGCAGAATTTCGGCTCACCACAACCTCCGCTTCCCAGGTTCAAGCAATTCTCCTGCCTCCCAAGTAGCTGGGATTACAGGTGCCCACCACCACGCCTGGCTAATTTTGTATTTTTAGTAAAGATGGGGTTTCACCACGTTGGCCAGACTGGTCTTGAACTCCCGACCTCAGGTGATCTGTCCGCCTCGGCTTCCCAAAGTGCTGGGATTACAGGCGTGAGCCACCACACCTGGCCTGTGCCTGTTACTCCACTGCAGGCACCCAGGGCCCAGCCTGGGCTGGCCCACAGCAGCATCGATAAGCACATGCTGTGTGAACGGAAGCATGCGTGTACACAGCAGCTGGATGCACCCTTGGCAAGACAGGCACAAGAACCATACACAAGCCCCCTGAACCTCCCAGGGGCCCAGGCACCGGCCACTCATCACCAGGGCCCCACAGACCCTGGACAGGACAGGGCTGGCTGCGAGGTGGCAAGGACATCCTGCCTTCAGGGGATGCCTCATAAGCCACCACTGGGACCCCTCCTGAGTCTCCTTGGCCCCATACCCCTGGCTCCTCCCCAGCTGGGCACCCCAGGCCCCACTCACCAGGAGCAGCTACAGCAGCAGCACCAGCACAGGCAGCAAGGGTTGCGGCTGGGGGCCGCTGGAGGGGCTGCATCATGGCTGGACATTGAAGGGGGCCGGTCCGCCTCCTCTGGCCCTGTGTTCTGCGGGGACATGGGGCTACCTCAGCCTCCAGGTCAGAACCCACCAGACCCGCCACCTTTCGCCTACCCTCCCATGGGTGGCCCCTGCTCCCAGGGACATGACCATTCTGGCCTCCCAGGTGTTCAGGGGTCTCCCAACTCCTTGTGACCCCTCAGGTTGCCCCACCCCATCTCCCCCAGGGGAGCAGAGGCAGAGGGGAGGTGGCGTACCTGCTTCTCAGCCTCATGCGGGGTGGGCATGGGTGGGCAGAGGAGGTTGCCCAGGCTCCGTGGTGCCAGCTCTCAGACCCTCACCACAGCCTGGGGGTCTGGGGAGAGGTGCCAAGGTTCTGACTGAGAACCAGAAACCCCAGCCCCCACCTGTCCCTTAGGAGGGGTCCTGAGGGTGTCTCCCTAGCTGGGCCTGCTCCTGCCTCTGGACCCGGCTCTCCCGAGGGCTTCTACGCCTACTCTAAGCTTACAGCAGGGCTGGGAGGGGGCCCAGGGTCATGGAGGAGGGGACTGCAGCAGCTTGTGGCCCCTCCTCCCAGGCTGGGCCCCAGATGAGGCCCCCACAGGAGGTTCCGGGACACCCCATCCGCTCAGTCCCTGGGAAGCCGGAAGCCTGGGTTCCTCTTTCTTGGTTTCCGGCTCCCAGCCCCTCCCAAAGGGGCCCCGAGAGTCTGGGGCTACCAACTGATGCATGAGGGTGGTGGCCAGACTCGTTTCTAGGGTGTCAGGTGGGGAGGAGACAGAGCAGCTCTCCCCCAAGAGTCCAGGTCTGTCTGTAGGCCCTGGAGGTCTCAGCCAGGGCGGCAGGCTAGCCCTGTGGCATTGAGGATTTAAGTGGCACTCACGGCCGGACCTCCTGAGGGTATGGGAAGGGTTGCAGGGCCCTGGTGCTGAGGGACGTGCCCCCCAAACATGGTTCTTTGGTCCTGCTGTCTCCCACCCAAGACTTCCCTCCCTTCCTGCCCACTACCTCTAGGCTGTGAAACTGCTGTGGACCAAGGCCCTACCGCAGGGCACGCCAGCCAGGGAAGTGGGGGTGGCAGTGGGCGGGGGAACCCTGCTCCCCAGTCAAAGCCCGGAGTTGCTGACAGGTGCGGTGTGGCATGGCGTGTGTCCTTCCTGGTGTTTGGCTGCACCGTCTGCAAGGGAGGTGCGCCAGGAACGCCAAGGCCGTGGGTCGCCCTCTTGCTACCCAAGATACCACTTCGAATCCCGTCTCCCTGGGTGATGGCACAGGGTGCCGATCTGCCTGGAGGCGGTTGTGAACAGCCGCGCCCACCTCTGCGCAGGGTAGGGCCCTCTGGGCCTCCATGCACACTGCCGGCCTCCTCATCCGCCGGCCTCCTCCCTGGCCAGGAGGCTCCAACTTGGTTCGACTTCAGTGTCTCACTCTTCACCCTCTCTGATGTGCCCCCCCTAGCTTGTGGCCGTTGAGTGCTTGTTTCTGCCTGGTTGGCCTCTCTTGGCCTCTCTTGGGACAGGGTGCAAATGGAGCTCAGAGGAGACAATGCTGGAGTTCTGCACTCTTAGGACACCCACTGCCCCGGGGCCTGGGCATGCAGAGGCTACTGCCCTGGCCCAAGTCTGGAGCAGGTGCAGGGGACCTCAGCCCCTTACCACCTGCCCACCTTCCTCTGAGACTGTTGGTCCCACGGGCTCCTAGCAAGTACATGAGGGGACAAAAAGCAGCCCTGCAGCTGGGCTTCCTTTTAGGGGTCAAGTTTCTAGGGAAAGGAAGGGGTGTGGCACCCTGAGGTTTGGTAGCTGTACCAGACGGGGCTGTGACTTCCCCAGGCGGCAGTTCTTCCTCCTCTCTGTCCCCACCCAGAGTCCTCCCCCACCCTGGATACTGTCCCTCCTGGGCTAACAACTCCACCCCGGCTCTGAACTAGAGGAGGGGATGTGTCTAGGGGTGCAGGGCCAGGGTGCCAGGGGCTTCGTTTGCTGCAGAGGAGGGAGCCAACCCCTTCCTTCCCAGTTGCAGGCCCTGGACTGGTCACCATCCCTGGACCTGGCTTCCTGTACCCTTCTCTGGTCAACTGGGACCACCTATGTCCCCAGGCTACTCCCCTTCTCTCCTGGGGGATACAGAGTCTCAACTAGGGTTCCCCTGCTCGTCATCCTGGTACTGGGGATCCCCCTTCCCCAGTCCCCCAGGCTTTGGCCCCCAAGTCTGGGATGGGAGAGGCGGGACAGGAGGCACGTCTGGTCTCTGGGGATAGAGGCTCCCTTGGGAGTGGCTGCTGCTTTGCTCCACAGAAGGAAAAAGAACGTCCCAGAGCCTGCCCAGTCCAAAAAAAGAATAAGAAAATGTGACAATCCCAGAGAAAAATGTCACAACCTTTGAGAGGGGGGTTGAGAGGGGCTCCATTCTCAGTTCTGTTCCTGCCCATGGCCTTTCCCATCTGCCACCCTCCCCATCTGGCTTGGGCGAACCCTAGCCTGGTCCCTCCAAGGAAGGCCAGCCCTCCCCAGCCCACCTCTAAAACAGTGGTGGTGACCCACCCACCGCGCTCCTCTCTCCGCTCTTAGGGTCCAGTTTGGGAGCCTGTGTCCACCTCCAGCCTCTGACGTCCCCACCTCTACCTCAAGGCGCCCTACTCACCAGCGACCCAAAGGCGGGGTGGGGGCAGGAGGGGCCAGGTTGGGTGTGGGCCCCACCCTGGCTGCCGAAGGGGCGTGCACTGCAGCAGCAGGGACTCGAGTCAGACGGCAGGAGGGACTCCTGCCGCGCTCTGGAGGGAGGCTAGCGCCAGGAGCCCCCGATGGGCTGGGGCCGGGGGCGCAGCACCTTCCCTGCAGCTCGCGGGGCTGAGTGGCGGCCAGATCCGGCGAGGTGGGGGCGGGGGCGGACAGGGTGTCCCGCCCCGGCCCCTCCTCAGCAGGCAGATGGGGGGAGGAAGACGCGGAAACCTGGGTTCTTCCGGCCCCCACCTTTGAGCAATCACTTCCCCAGGCTTTGAGCTCCAGAAAAAGGGGAACCCAGCCGTAGCGCCCCCTCCCCCACGCGCGGGGGCCGGGCTGCAGTTCCACTGCGGCCCAGGGTCCACGTGGACCTGGCGGCGGGAGCCCGTGGGGTTCGAGGCCCGCGCGCCGCCTCCTGCGGCTCCCGCCCCGCTCGGTCCCCGGGCCCGGGCAGGGAGGGGCAGGGCCGCCGTCCCCGCGCCGCGCGCGCGCACTCACCAGCCGCGCTCCCGAGCCACTCGCGCCGCCGCCGGCCCGCGCGCTCCGAGGTCCCGCTAGGCCGTCGGGGGGGGGTAGGGAGGGGAGGCGCAGTGCGCAGGCGCCTCGGCCGCACTTCCCCAAAGCCGCGCCGGGACTTCCTCGCGCCGGGGGCGCCCGGCCCGCCCCGCCCTCGGCCCCGCCCCTCCTGCGCTCGGCCCCGCCCCACCCCG